AGCACAGCTGCTTACTGTGGAAATGAGAATCTGGAGCCCAGAGAGGGAAGATCACACAGCGAGGCAGGGCCCAATTGTGACAGAGTGGCCAGAAAGTGGAGAGAAATTCCTCTCTCTTTGGTATCCCCACCCCTATTCTTCTAAGACTGGTATTTTCAGTAACTCACTGATGAGCCAGTCACTAAATGTCTCTTTGCCTCAGTTTTCACATCTGTAAAATGGAGAGGGCCACATGTGTAACATGTCACAGAGACATTTTAAGGACCAAGTAGGATAGTGAGTGTGGACTTCTTGGAAAGTTCAAATGTGAGGGCACCCTTGGTGATGGTTGTAAAATAATTTACAAGAGAATCCAAATAAATCGGCCTTTCAAAAGTGAGCGTAGTTCCCAGTCTCACCATCCAGCCCTGTCAAGGTTCATTCGTCAATTCATAAGATAAGCATTTCGTGAGCACCCACTAAGTGCTGGCACTGTACCAGGGGCTAGGGACACTGTCGCGCCCCCTTCAGTCAATGCCTCGCACACAGCCAGAGCGAGCCTGCTGGATGAAAGTCAGATCCTGTCCTCTCTTCAAAACCCCACCATCGCTGCCGGCTCACTCAGCAAAGCCTGGCCTCCCGCATTGACCCCAAGACCCAAATGACCCTTTAACCTCTCAGACCTCGGCTCCTACTCGTCTCCCCTCACCTACTCAGCTACAGCCAAATCCCCCTCACCACGGCAGGCCCTTTGCACTTGCTGCCCCCTCTCCCTGTGATGCGCCTCCCCCAGATACCAGCACGGGCCCATCCCTCTCCTCTTTAAGGTCACAACAAACATCGTCGATGGGATCTTCTCTGGACACCCTTTGTAACATTTCAGCCCTCACATTTCCTACTCCGCTTCCTAGCTTTAGTATTTTCCTTGCTATCTAAACGCTATTTAGTCTCCTTATTTATATAGTCTTTTGTCTGTCTTTTCCCTAGAATGTAACTTCCATGAGGGCAGGAACTCTTGTCTGTTTTGTTCAAACTGAATTTGGAGTGTCTAGAGTAGTGCCTGGCACACAGTCGGACCCCTTAAATATATGTTAAATGAATGAATGGCGATGTACAGACAAGGTCCCTGCCCTCATGAAGCCTGCATTCCACTAGCAGAGCACCCGCTGGGGGGTGTGGGATGAGGAGGGAGCGGAGGGCGATACAGACCCTGGGCGACAGAAGTTTCTGGGGCCCCTCCTCTCCAAGGGTGTCACTGTGGGATTACATTATCACTAGTCTTGAACAGCACGATTTATAACAGGAGTTAACTGCTTACTAATTAGCAGCTGGAACCATTAATTGGCTATTTGTTAGAGCCGGAATTAATAAACTGGTCTTTCAGCGGGGTCATAACTCTCCCCGTTTCTCGCCCCCTCCCAGCCAGCCTTCCCCCACCTGACCAGAAAGTGTCTTGCCCTGAGACTGAATCGATAACTGCCACTGTATGATTTTCAGACACAATTTCCCTCGTTAGGCGACAACACCATCCCCTCAAAGACTCTTCCACTCTCTCTCCCTGTCTCCTCTTAGGGGCTCTAACTTGCCGGAGGCTAGCAAGAGAGCTGGCGGCTGGAGGAAATGGAGATTTCTAGTAACATGCTTTCACAACAAAGGCCCTAGGCTGCCCTGCTTGGCCAAGGTCTGGGGCGCCTGGTCCCCTGGCCCATCAGCAGCTAGTTCCTGAGACCTCCTGGACCCCAAGGACTGGGCTTTCTCTGGGGCAAAAGAACAGAATTTTTCTTAGAGCATCTTGAGTTGAACCCAAGAGTTGGCAGCTGCCTGCTGACCACTGAACCTCCAGGCAGCCCAGCCTCAGTTCACCTTGGGTCCGCTGGTCTAACTCACATGCCCCAACCCCCAACACTCCAATTAGGGGCCCAGAGAATTGTTCTCTGTGTGCGAAGAGAATAGGAAACACTTCTTGTGAAAACACTTACTAGGTACTTAGGCCCTTACGTCTCTTCAGTTTAGAACAGTGGGAAAGAGCAAGGTCGCCAAGCCAAGCCACTTAACTCAAAGCTCCTTGGAGCTGCGTAAGGCACTAAATCTTTCTACGTTATTCCATGAGAATAACAGTCCTATCTCACATAGTTCTTATGGGGATTAAATAGTTAATGTGCATGAAGGGCTTAGAACAGTGTCTGGCGTGTGGTGTCAGCTATTATTCTTATTTCTTCTCTTAACCACTTTGTGACAGAGGGACCCTACTGTGAAAGGTTAGGACAGAACACAGGCCTGATGGCTCCCAAGCCTGGTGCTCTTTTCCTTCTCTCTGGCTGCCTCCCATCGTCAGACACAGGGCGCTATCGGAGGCAGCAGGAAGGGCACACTGGGGGGAGGAGATGACTGAATTTACAGGCCTGCTCAAACAGGCTGTCAAGGTATTTACACTGCATACAATTAGCTGCAGAGTATTCACAAGTGGATCAGCGACAGCAAATGTTCAGTCCCAGCCTGGCTGGAATTGGGTCCTCTGCTCCCTCTCCCCCCAGCCCCTCCCACAGGATGTCCTCTCTCCTCCAGGCCAGTGTAGGTGTTCAGAGACAGCAAACTCAAGAGAATGTGCGCTGAGTCAGTGGGGCTCCCTGCCTCTCAGTAATGTACCCCAAAGCCAAAGAGGACCAATTAACTGCTGTTTGGGGACTAGGTAATTGAAAATAGGAAGGCAGTGTCCCATGACATGGATAAGTGCTCATTCAACTCAGAATGGGCAAAGCCAAGGAGAGCTGGAATCACTGTGATTATACGGAGGGCTTCCTGGAGGAGGTGAGAATTTCCAGGAATTTTTGAATAATGGAAAGATGACAATAAAAGAAGCATCATCACACCCTCAGTTGGTGCCACTTCCTTTTCAGACTGGGTGGGGGAGGTGGGTGGGAAGAGGTCTGATAGCTCTGTATCTCTGTGGAGCCGAAAGTGGATTTTTCTCATTGGGGTAATCATTGGGGGGTGGGGAGTAGAAATGATGGCTGCACTGAGGGTGTCCTAGGTCTGCTGTATCTGCCCTATGATGGGCATCATTCATTCATTCATTCATTCATTCCACAAATCGTCAGCTGACATCTCTAGATGCCCAGCAGTAAGTCGTGTCTGGATCCCTTATTCAGCTTTGGACCCACAGGAAAGGAAGGAGAGAGAAAAGCAGGGAGGCACGAAGAAGGGGCACTCACGTGGAGGTGGGCTGGAGAAGATTCTTCAGATGTTCTCGGACTTTCTGAGCACAGAAGGGGAGTTGAGGAGGTGTCCGCTGATGGTACACCCCCCGTGCCGCCTGGCCTTTCTCCGGACATCTGCTCCTACCCGGCAGTTGAGGGCACGGACTCCTGTGGGGGCAGCCCCTGGAGAGTCAGGGGAGGAGGGACGCAGCAGGAGATGGGCCTGGCAAAGGGGTGGTTTATTATCATTTTTAAAATTGATGTTTTACACACTGAAAAATTCTTTTTTGGTGTACAGTTCTTTGAGTTTTGACAAATGCATACAGTCGTGGAACCACCATCACAGCCAAGATATTGAACAGTTCCGGGGGTGGGGGAAGGAGGGTTTATAATCTCCCCGCTTGTTAGCTGCTGCGGTGGTCCGCGCTTCCACGGGTCTCCCTGCTACAATCCCTGCGCACACGCGGAGATGAATAACGGCGACAGGTGGAGCAAGTGAGAGTAGCAGGACCTGGGTAGGGGGACGCGATCGCAGGCACGGGGGAGGCCGCCCGCCTCGCTTCCCAGCCTACATCCCTCCTCTCCGGCGTTTGGGAGGAGCGCTCTGCCCACTCCTGCTCCGAGAGAGAGGGCCGGGGTGAGCCAGCGGAGTCCCAGAATGCCAGACCCTCGCAGCTGGAGCGGGCCCGGGCTTGGCTGCCGGAAGAGAGTGCGCCCCTGGGGCGCTTGGGGGCGCCTGAGGTCCTCAGCGGAGGCAGGATGGGGAGAGGGGCAATCTGGGGAGAATGGGAAGGATGGCCTGGGGGAGTTCCGGCGGACGGGTCCTGCGGACAAACCTGTTGGCAACCTGCGGGCCGAGGCAAGAGCAGGAGCTCTAAGCGCGCCCTCTGCGCCCCGGGCTCAGCCAGCTGCTCGGTGGCCCCCACGCACTACGCGGGGAGAGGCGGAGGCGGCCTGGAAAGGGGCGGGGGCTCGGCCGGGGCGGAGGGACTCCGGGGCCGCGCGGACGGCCCTGCAGACCCAGGGCAGGCGGCCGGCTCCCGCGCCTGCAGGACCCCAAGAGCCGCGGGCTCCCTGGCCTTTCCCTCCGACCCCAGCTTCAGCCCCGCCCCCCAAAAGTGCAAAACATTTGCAAAGTAGGCAGTGCCCCGCAGGCGTGTGTTCCCGGGGCGAACGGCCGCGCTTACCCCGCGAGCGTAGTGCGATCGGTGCGCCCTGCTCGGGCAGCCAGACTGGGCGTGCAAGGGCGGGCGGAGAGCGAGCGTGCGAGCGCGCGGCTGCAGAGCCCGCGCCGAAACCCACGTCCCCCCGCCACTGTCCTCGGGATAGATGGATCCATTTCTGCTTTCTGACATTTTCCTGCCGGGGGGTGGGGGGTAGGGGGAGAGAGGGAGAGAAGGGGGGAGGGGCAGAGAGAGAGAGAGGAAAGAAAGCCGGCAGTCTGCTTCCCCCAGCCCTGTTTTGTTTTCTCTAATTGGTCCTGGGGGAGGCGAGGAAATTGGACAGAGGCTGGGCCGGGCGAGCTGGGCTGCCTTTAATTGGCTCCTTTTTTTAACTGGAGGGGAATCAAACAGGAGAGCGAGCGACAAAGGGTGGGAGAGCGAGAGACCGAACGCGGAGACGCGAGGAGGAGGGAGGAGGAAGGGAGGGAGAGAGGGAGAGAGGGAGGGAGAGAGGGAGAGAGGGAGAGAGGGAGGGAGGGAGGGAGGGAGGCGGGGGGAGCGCGGAATGAAAAGCTCCGAGGGGGGGGGAAGCAGCACAGCGAAGCCCAAGTTGCCGAGCGAGAGGAGCGCTCCCGCGGCCCGGAGCCGAGCGGCCGCCGCGCCCCGGAGCCCGGCCCGGCCCCGCCCGCTCGGGCCCCCGCCGGCCGAGGCCGCGGGGCGGGGGCGGGGACGACCAACTTGGGGCGCGACGCAGCCCCGCTCTCGGGAGAGCGCCGAGCCCGGCAGCGCCACGGCCGCGGCCAGACGGCGGGAGCGGAGGCGGCGAGCGGCGCCCGCGCCGCAGCCCCGGCCTCGGCGGGAGCGCGAATATTTTTCAAACGACTCAAACTTTCCTCCTTTCCCCGCTTTCTGGGGTCTCTCTTGGTTGGAATTGCTCTCCTGATTCCCGCGGGGCGCCGGGGCGCGATTCCTCCCCGGGGTTCCTCGGTGGCTCAGCTAACTTCGCGAACCCGGGGACCCGTGGCTCTCGCCCCTCGGCCGAGCCCAGCCCGCGCGGCGCCCCCGCTCAGGAGGGCCGGGGCTCCTTTGCCTCCGGGAGCGCGCCCAGCCAGGCCGCCCCTGGCTCGGGCCGTTGAGCCCCCAACACCCGCCGCAGGACTGGAGACAGCGGATTAACCCGAGCGGAGCCCCGGCCTCCCTGCCCCCGCTCCGCGGAGGGGCGTCCCCTGGGCGGGGAAACGGCAAGTTTGTCAGTCGTCGGTGGCCTGTTGGATCGAAGCGCCGCCGCCGCCGCCGCAGAGGGGTCCCTGGCGCCCAGCACCCCGGGCGGACAGCCCTGGGGACTTGGGGCGGTTCGGCCGCCGGGCTCCTCGGGCCGGGGCGCTGGCTGCTGCGCCGGGCGCTCCGAGGCACCCGGGGCCGGGCCAGCGCCCCCTGCGTCCCCACGCGGGCAGCGGCCCCGCCGGAGGAGAAACCCGGGTCGCCGCCGCCGCCGCCGCCTCCTTAGTCTCCTGGTTTCCGTCGCCGCCGCCGCCCCCTCCGTCGTCTCTCGGGGAAGGGGAAAACGCAGGGGGCATCGCGGGGCCCTGGCGGATGCGCCCCTCGCCGCCTCTCGGGCTGCGCCGCCTCGCGGGGATGAAGCACCGACCGTGAAGATGGAGGTGACCTGCCTTCTACTTCTGGCGCTGATCCCCTTCCACTGCCGGGGACAAGGAGTCTACGGTAAGAGCCCGCCCCGGCTCCACGCCGGCTTAGCACCGCGCGGAAACTTTACAAGAGGCGCGAAGTGCGCGCTGCCGGGGTTTGGTGGGGACCCCGGCTCAGACTCTGGAGTGGATGCCCGGGTCCCCGCTCTTTTTAGGGCGCGAGCAGACTGAGCTAGCGGCTTCGGAGCACGGAGACGGGTCGTAGGGTCTGGCGTGAAGCCGGGGATGCCAGGGAGAGGTGCCCACTTTGTCAAACCCTGCGGGGGGCAGGAGTGTCTCCGCGAACCCTTGAGAGCACCGGGTCGGCTCCGGAGACTCTGACAGACCCCAGACAGGGGGCTGAGGAAGCGACTTGCACCGAAACCTCGTCCTACCCTGACTCGGCCTCCAGAGTGGAAGCCGAGCGATGCACGATCCGGAGTTGCGCGAGGCTTGCGGGCGAGCTGGCTGCCAGTGCCGCGGCCGGGCAGCGAGCTCGCCTTCCCGGCTCTCGCTGCGGCTTCGCTTCTTTTACTCGCTTCTTGAGAGCCGGAGCTGCTGCCAGCATCCTCTGGATAGGGCGCCTAAAACGCCGGCGTCCCTTTTCGGACCTCTCCGGAGCCACTTCTTCCTGTCCCCGGTTTCCAGCTACAAAACCCCAGCCCCACCTTCCTTCTGCCTGCGCGCACACAGACACATTCAGCCACCGTCCCCAGAAACGCAAACACGGCACGCACCCATCTGGCTACGTGTCCCAACTCTGCCTCCTGCCAGGCAGCTTTGCTCCCACGTCCCCACGCCTCGCTCTCCAGCGCCCAGAGGACTCTGGTTACCCGCCTCCCTTCTCTTCCGCGGGTTTTCCCGGGGAAAGGTCCCGAGAGCAGGCATTATCCGTTCACGATCACCCGGGCTCCCCCCTCCCAGAGACTCTCCCTCCGAATTCTAGCAGCCAGTGCCCTGACCCCACAGCACAAAAGTCAGGCTCGGGGACCAGTGGGCTTTACTGTGCCTTCTTCTGATGCAGGGTGGTCTGTTGTAGGTCACTTTTCAGTGATGTGCGTCTGGGGTGGGGAGAATTCTCTTTCCCTCTTTGTCTGGGGTAGAGAGCCTAGTTCTTCCCCTTTAGATTAGGGGAGAATTTGTTCTGTTGGAGTGGGCGCAAAGGTGTTGTCCCTCCTGGCTGCCAGCCTCAGGTGCAGATGCTAAATGCTTCCTTCTAGGGATGCCTGGGCGCTCTCCCCATGCCTTGCAAGAGGGAGTGGTGTCCTGAGGGGTGTCTGGGAGATGACATGCTCCTGGCCCTACCCAGCTAGCTGGCTTGGGCTTCATTCCCTGGGGAGGCTGGCCCAGGCATCTGGCCAAACTCTGCTTCTTAATTAGTTTGTTGGTCTCTTACTGCCTGGCCCTTTACATAGGCCAGAAAAGGAAAGAAGGAGGAAGGATGCAGCAGGGACTGAGGGAGGCTGGGCTGTGGGGAGGAGGCCACTGAGTGGGTCCCCGAGGCCCTGGCCTCCTCAGGACAGAGGAAGACATCAGGGGTCTGGGCTCGCGCTTCTTTCTCCTCAAGGTTTCCCTACAGCTTCACTGCCTCCTCAAGAGGTGGCCTAAGGAGAGATGCTGCTGAGGCCTTGCCTCCTTCTGCCCCACCCCAGGGCTCTGGAGAGTGATGGAGAGCCCTCCCTGTTTGCTGCTGTCCTCTACCCTGCCCCTCCCTCCAAGTGTCCTTGGGCACATCTGGCAAGCCCATCTCCTGGTCATCCCCTCCAGCTTCTCCAACCTTCTCCAGGGCTGCACGGGGCCCATCTTGAGGAAGATGAGCTTAGCCTGGAAACCCCAGCAGTGAGGGTAGGGATGGGAGATAGGGGCAGTGGTCTGTGCAGACCCTGACTTCAGAGTACTTTGGGGCTAGGATTTAATCATTGGCTTATCTGCCCCCTTTTCTTGGTATTTTCTCCCCACCCTCACGTGCCTGGGTCCCAGCTGCTCTCAGTCAGAGCAAATCAAGGTGAGCTGGGTGCACTGGAGCCAACCCCTGGCTCTTGGGTGACATTCTTTCCTCCTGCCCTTTGAGACTGAGGCTCCAGGGAAGCCCAGGGCTTCAGGGGAATTGCAGGGTAGAAGGTCTTCTTTGAGGTGAGTGGACAGAGAGGAAGATCTAGTATGAGGAGGAGGATGGCAAGAGCCTGCCGAGTTCCTTGTGATGCTAGAAGCTTTGGCCAGATACAGCAGAAGGGAGATCCAGTAGGACTGGGTCTGGGTTAAGTAATATGGAGAGCTCGTGCCTCTGACCCCAGTTCTCCTCTATACCCAAAGGAGAATGAAGCAGCTTGAGAAAGAGTAGAGTGTAGGAGTGAGGGATGGTCATTTGTGTCCATCATTGTACTTCAGCACCCAGCATGGTGCCCAGCACCCAGCAGGAGCTTGGCAAATATTTGTTGCACAAATAAAGGGCCACAGTTGGTGGAGGTTGAGGAAATGCTTCTTGAAATTCTTTCTCCCCAAGAAATCTTCTAGAATGGCTTCCACCAGGGTTGTGGGGCACTCTTTGAGGGTCTCTGCTGAGGGACTGTCACGGAGTCCTAGGCTAGGCACTCAGGGAGGAGAAGAGAGAAGAGGCTAGAATCCCAGTGCTGTCCTGGCGGTGAGGAGGGAGGCAGAAGGTTTTACTCAAGGCACAAAAGAAACAAGCGTGCTCTGGGGAGGGAACCCCGGCCCCTTCCCCTCTGCCCCCAGGCCTGTGTGGCTGTGAGAGGGGCCGATTGACCCGAAGATGAATTGAGGAGAGAGCGGAAGAGCAGGGTATGGAGGGCAAACCCAGCCAGATCAGGCCTGGGCTGTGAGTCTCTGCTGAGGCCACCAGGAGGCAGGTGCCCGGAGCCCTACCCGGCTTCCCTCTGAGGGTCCTCTTGCCTGCTTTGAGGTCCGCTGTCGGCAATAGGACGGGGAAAGTGCTCTCAGTCTGGCCAGGTGGCTTCTCTCTTCTTTGGGGCACAGATGCTACAGCAGCCGAGTACTAGATCAGATGGTCCATTTGGAGCTGGTCCTCTCTTCTTTCCCCGCCTCCCAATCTCCTGGCCCAGTTGGTTGTGCTCCGGGGCAGATTCCGTAATCTGCTTTCTGGCAGGCCAGGGATGTGGGCTGGCCCCAGAAGCCTAGTTCTGGGGGACACGCAGTAGCCAGGTGATGGAAGAGGAGTATCCTGCGTGTGGAGAGCATCACAGAACAGCCCCGCCTCCCGCCCAGCTTCCTTTCCTGCTCCCGCAGCTTCAGGACTTCCAGCCAGGGGCGGGTCGGTGGGATTCCTCTCCCTTACAAAAACACAACAAACTCCTGGATTATTTAATATGCAGGAGTGGGAATTGACATTATCCTTAAGACAGGTTGTTTGCAACTTACTGGTGGAAGTCAAAATATTTCACTAAATGTGTCATCAGAAACTACTATCCTATGCTAATTTTTGTGGGAACATGAAGACAGATGTTGAATAATTTGACAAGAGCAACACAGCTTACAAAATTATCACCAAGTCAGGTTTTTTTCCCTCCTCTGAGGGGTGCGGAGAAGGAATTTCAGGAAGTGTGTCTCCGGTGCCGTCTTCTGGGTGTTGATGTGGGTGGTGGGCACTCGGAATTTTTCACTGGAGTTTCTAGCCAATGCCTTGAAACCGCCTGTCCATATCTGACTCTCCCCCTGGAGACGGAAGGCATCGCATCAGAAACTCTGGTTCCCCTAGGACAAGCAAGCTCTGGGGTTTCTAAATGCCCTCAAGAAAGTCCATGCCTCTGTCTCTTCTTCCTTCTCAGTCATGGAAACTGCACGAGGGAGAGAGAGAGCCTTGTGTCTGAAAATCCAGGCTGTTTTATGTACTTTGCCAGCATTGTCTGCCCCTCCTCCCCAAATTGATGTTGGCCCCTGAGCCAGCCAGAGGGCTCCCCATGCCCAGTGTCAGGCTGGAGAGCCCCGCTTAGGGTCAAGATCCTCATGACATCCCCTCCTACACTGTAGGCTGGGAATCTGAGCTTCCTGTCTGGGTAGGGCCCTGGGGAGGGGGGCGGGGGTGGTTAGAGTGGATTTTATTAGCCAGGAAAGCACCCTTGAGGGGGCGGGCTGGGGACATGCCGTGGGCCCACTTGTAATTGGCCAGGCCTGGCTGTGAGCTGCTGGGGCTGAGGTGGCAAAGCCTCATTTAGAGCCTGGTATTAGCTCTGCTTTGCTGGAACATGGAGGGCCGGGCGGGGGGCTCCATAGGGAGAATGGAGGGAGCTAATCACAGCCGCCCAGGCCCGGCAAATGAATGATGCGGGAAATCAATACCTGGGGGCGGGAGTGGAAATCCGGGTAGTGGCAGCAGCCCCGGCTTCTCTGGCTGCCCAGGAGGCATGGGCGGGCCTGGGAGGAGTGCAACAGAGGCAGGAGTGTGGAGGACCCTTCTCTCCCCCAAACAAGTTCCCCTCTCCCTCCCCCAACGCTGCCTCCCCCCTCTGCCCCACTCCTGCCTTTCATCTCCTTGTGGCTGGGCTCAGGGAGGTTGGGCCAGGGGATGCCCCACCTGGCAAAGGCAGGGGACTTGGGAGATGGGGCCTGGGGCCTTGGGCCTTGCAGTCCTAGAAGAGCCCTGTCCCATCCCTACCTGCCTCTGGACACCTGAGCCTGATTACGCCCCAGGTGCGGCCGGGTGTGTGCCTGGGGACCCTGCCCTGTGCGGCTGGCACTGCCACTCCTGATGTGGCCAGCAGGGGGAGGGCTTGGCCACCACATTACTTTTAGCCTTTCCTAGGCTCCCTTGGCCTCCTGCCTCCTGCCTCCTACCTCCTGGTGGGATGAGAGTTATTCTAATTCCTCAGCCGGAGACTCACGGGAGCTCCTTAGCGCCTTTTGAAGCTCCAGGCCTCCCTCCAGCTCCCATGTACCCACCCCAGTGTCCCAGAGTGTTTGCCTGTAGCCAAAGCCACACTTCCTGCACCCTAGGCTGGAGGAGAGCTCTGCGGTGGGGCCCAGCTCAGTGGGCTCCTGCTTGGGTGGGGCTGTGTGCAGAGC